TTTGAGCGTACTGATGCGCATCTGAGAAATTTCATTTCCCCAGCTTAGATTAACAATGTTACACCCGCACCAAGAAAATCATTTACATTATTAGATAAATATGTTCATCTAATCTCACCCGCTCCCTGTGGTTCTTCCATAGGAGGAACTGCATTGCAGTCAGGATGAGCTGAACTGTGCACAGAGTACGAGTAGAGCTCTTTCTTATTTTGTCTTCATAAAGAAATAAACATGAATTTGTGCTCTGAGACCTCAGCTTTGCTCTTCAAATTAAGCTTGATGTTGACTGTGTGCATCTCTGCTTTGTTATTGTAGTTTATCCCACTGTCAATCAGTTTCCTATTATTCTCTGAGTTTAGGGCCACAGGCCTTGAGTGCTTGTTTGAGAGTGTCTCTAATCGTTAGGGAGTGCATCAGTCTGAACTCACCATCTTTTGAGTCCGAGCTGACCTCTGGCTCATAGTGCCTGAGAGAACGTGTTGAGTTCATCACTTTCTTACAGTTAAATCCACTGAACGTTCATCTGTCAGAGCAGTGTGGGTGTTATTCTGATGCCTTTTAGAATTATAGAACGATCAGAGAGGTCTTGGGGTATTATTTGCTGGTGGCAATTTTTTCTTTTTTTATTATAATAATATATTATTTTTTTTAATATTATATTCTTAAACTGAGGATTTATGCTGTCAGTGTCTGAAACTCTTTGAAGACGCAGGTGATGTTTTTTTGCAAGATTACAAAGATTCTGTCTCTAAATTCGTCCGCTCCACTACTACAGCCATCAAGCACCACTTCTGTAATGAGTAATACTCTGAAATCATATTACAAATTAAAATAACCATTTTATGTTTTTATATTTTAAAATGTAATTTATTCCTGAAGTCTTCAGTGTCATGTGATCCTTCAGAAATCATTCTAATATGCTGATTTGGTGCTCAAGAAACATTTGTTATTATATTCATATTATTTTTTTAAACATATAGAGCTCCTAACCAAAAGTTGTGCAGTTTAATACTTTTGTGATTTTATTCTTTGATGAATAGTTAGAAATAGAAAATGGAAAATGTTGTAACTTCTGTCACTTTTGATCAATTTAATGCGTCTTTGCTAAATGAAAATATTAATAAAAAAATAACATACTAACTCCAAATGGTAGCTTGTATGTGTGTGCGCACGCGCATGTGTGTGTTTGAGTGATAATGCAATCATTTCATTTAATTTTTGCGTTATGAATTGATTCATTGTTTGAATTGAAACTCTTAGCAACTCAACACTTTTTTGAAGTTTAAATCAGAGACACTATTAAAACATCTGTCTTAATGTTTTCATAAGGAAGGATCATGAAACTAGCCTATTGACGGTCTTTAGGAAGTGTAACGAGCAGATTAAAGTACATTAAAATAATGTTGATATTCCCAATGTGTTGTTTATTTTACATTGGTTGTGGTGCCTTTATCAGACCTCTGTGAGTGTTTTGCTGTGTGAACTAGAGGAAACCAGGGCTTTATGGGCAGTGAATGAAAAGCCCTGTGGGCACAGTAGTCTTCAGGGGTAGCGAGGAGAGAGAGGAGATAAGACAGACTGAGTTTCCCATGAGGCTGCGCTATCTCTAGCAGTCAGCCAGACAGTGAGAATGGGTCATTCAGTTTATTCAGACACATGCTGACAAAGCCAGAAACACACCCGCTCGCACACGCACATAAAAAGGCTGTTCAAACAAACCAGCTCTGTCACATACATTTCCCTAGTCGTACACCAACAAGCCTTGTGGTGTTGGGTTAAGCTCAGGCCTTAAATAGGGCTTTTTTCTCTGACAGTCTTAGATCCAATATGGCTTCCACAGATGAGGACTGGGCCTCAATTTGCAGAGCCACAATGGCCGTGTGCTGATGAAGAGATATCTCAAATGAGATTCACAGCTGTCTTTTTCCCATTTCTTCAGAGAAGGCTGTACAATAGTGAAATCCAGCGAGAGACATGGCATTCATTCTTATGATTATAGACAGGGTTCAGACAACAATGGACTGCAGACACAGATTCGAGGTGTCAGAGAAGGTGAGAAGGTCTTCATAAATCTTCCTTTATACACTGAAAATTACTCAAAAGACTGAAGAGTGAGAGAGAGAGAAATCAGTCTAGCTGCTATTGATTTGTAGTTGGGTTCCCAGACATGTAGAGATGTATAATTTATGGAGCTGTCTTGGGAATGCTGTGTGATCTGGGATGAAACTTAAAAATGTTTCAATGGGCTTCGATTTTGGCTAAAAATATGACCAGTAGAGATGTTATGTTGAATGTGTGTTTGTGTGATGGGGCTTGTCAAGAAAAAATAAACTTCATGTAGAAAGCATCATTTTATAACAAAATGAAAAGTTCCTTAAGTCTTCAGTGTCATGTGATCCTTCAGAAATCATTCTAATATGCTGATTTGGTGCTCAAGAAACATTTGTTATTATATTCATATTATTTTTTTAAACATATAGAGCTCCTAACCAAAAGTTGTGCAGTTTAATACTTTTGTGATTTTATTCTTTGATGAATAGTTAGAAATAGAAAATGGAAAATGTTGTAACTTCTGTCACTTTTGATCAATTTAATGCGTCTTTGCTAAATGAAAATATTAATAAAAAAATAACATACTAACTCCAAATGGTAGCTTGTATGTGTGTGCGCATGTGTGTGTTTGAGTGATAATGCAATCATTTCATTTAATTTTTGCGTTATGAATTGATTCATTGTTTGAATTGAAACTCTTAGCAACTCAACACTTTTTTGAAGTTTAAATCAGAGACACTATTAAAACATCTGTCTTAATGTTTTCATAAGGAAGGATCATGAAACTAGCCTATTGACGGTCTTTAGGAAGTGTAACGAGCAGATTAAAGTACATTAAAATAATGTTGATATTCCCAATGTGTTGTTTATTTTACATTGGTTGTGGTGCCTTTATCAGACCTCTGTGAGTGTTTTGCTGTGTGAACTAGAGGAAACCAGGGCTTTATGGGCAGTGAATGAAAAGCCCTGTGGGCACAGTAGTCTTCAGGGGTAGCGAGGAGAGAGAGGAGATAAGACAGACTGAGTTTCCCATGAGGCTGCGCTATCTCTAGCAGTCAGCCAGACAGTGAGAATGGGTCATTCAGTTTATTCAGACACATGCTGACAAAGCCAGAAACACACCCGCTCGCACACGCACATAAAAAGGCTGTTCAAACAAACCAGCTCTGTCACATACATTTCCCTAGTCGTACACCAACAAGCCTTGTGGTGTTGGGTTAAGCTCAGGCCTTAAATAGGGCTTTTTTCTCTGACAGTCTTAGATCCAATATGGCTTCCACAGATGAGGACTGGGCCTCAATTTGCAGAGCCACAATGGCCGTGTGCTGATGAAGAGATATCTCAAATGAGATTCACAGCTGTCTTTTTCCCATTTCTTCAGAGAAGGCTGTACAATAGTGAAATCCAGCGAGAGACATGGCATTCATTCTTATGATTATAGACAGGGTTCAGACAACAATGGACTGCAGACACAGATTCGAGGTGTCAGAGAAGGTGAGAAGGTCTTCATAAATCTTCCTTTATACACTGAAAATTACTCAAAAGACTGAAGAGTGAGAGAGAGAGAAATCAGTCTAGCTGCTATTGATTTGTAGTTGGGTTCCCAGACATGTAGAGATGTATAATTTATGGAGCTGTCTTGGGAATGCTGTGTGATCTGGGATGAAACTTAAAAATGTTTCAATGGGCTTCGATTTTGGCTAAAAATATGACCAGTAGAGATGTTATGTTGAATGTGTGTTTGTGTGATGGGGCTTGTCAAGAAAAAATAAACTTCATGTAGAAAGCATCATTTTATAACAAAATGAAAAGAAGAAGCAGCAGCAAAAGTTTGACTTAATAGAATTAAATGCATTCTGTATGAAAAACACATCGTTCCCTTCATTGTGCATGACAATTATAGCATTTGCTTGTCTTCTAATCATTTTGTTTTCTGAAGTTAAACATTTGTGCATGGTCCAACAATTAAAAAAAAATAATAATAATAATTGTTTTAGTTGTCTTTTGGGGTTTTCAGTGTTAAAAATGTCAGAGTACTTCCAGGGTCAGAGTTCAGAGAATACAATGTTCAATACAGTGTTCAAACGTGCTTATTAGTGATTTCCCTGCATGTTGAAAAAGTTATTATTGTACATTTAAATAGATTTTTTTTCATATGGTTTATTTAAATGTCTCATTGGTGTTTTTATTGTCTTGTTTTTTTGTTTAGTATTTGTGTCAAAGTTTTACATTGAAAATAATTACAAATGACAAAAATGTTATCATTTATTGAGTCATAGATTAATTTTTTATTTTTTTATTTTTTTGAAATAAAGAAATTACTTTTTATTCAGCAAGGATGTTACATTTATTAAAAGTGACAATAAAGACATTTAAAGTGTTACAAAAAATTCCTATTTTAAATAAATGCTCAATGGTTTCAAACTATAGCATTTTATTATAGTTTTATATAGTTAGTTATTATAGTTTTCTAATAACTTTCTATTCACCAAATTCACCTAAAAAAATGTTTCACAGTTACTACAAAAATATTAATCAGCAAGTTTTCAACATTATTGATAAGAAATTTTTCTTGAGCACCAAATCTAGTGTGATTCTTAAATGGTCATGTGACTCTGAAGACTGGAGTAAAGACTGCGGAAAATTTCATTTAAAATTATAATAATATTTCACAATATTATTGTTTTTACTGTATTTTTGATTAGTAGTGAGCATTAGATTTCCAAAAACATTTAAAAATACTACAATTCTACAATCTATTAATAGTATTGTATTTAGAGATGATATTGACACTATCTTAGAAAATTTGTTTTGTATGAAAATTTGTCCTTGTGTTGTATATTTGAAATGTTGGAACACTGTATTGACCGATCAGCATCCAGGAATATGCCTTTTGGCATTAGTTTATTTTATTCTTGAACATCTCTCTGTGTTGCTTTCACTCATAGGTCGACAGACGTGTCCACCAGAGAAGTTTGACTGTGGTGGCTCGACGAGCAAATGTGTGTCAGTGTCATGGCGCTGCGATGGTGAACAGGACTGTGAAAATGGAGCAGATGAGGAGCAGTGTGCTGCAGGTAAGTCCAGGGAGGAAAGAGAAAGAAAGAGGAAATCACTAAAACTAGGTCCTGCCTGGATAATGCACAGTTAGTCTTCAGTGCGTTGTGTGTGTGTGTGTGTGTGTGTGTGTGTGAACATTATGTGTGTTTGATGTTACCGTAGCTGATGATACTTTGATCATGTCCTCATGATGTGCAGGATAGATATTACAGAATGCTCTGGATCATAAAAAAGGTGGGCTGGTTTTTGTTTTCAGACCCCCAGCAGTTAGTTCTTGCATTGATAAATTGTCACAGCGGGTGAGAATGAGTGTGTGTTATGATTATAAATAAAATAGAAATTCTGCTTACACACACACTTTCTCTCTCTCCTTTCCTCTCTCTCACACACTGCTGCCAAATACAGGTATTTCAATTTACTATTAGATTATAAACCAATATTGATTTAACTTTGCTCTTTGACATGCAACCTATAAAACCATTGATTCTCCAACTATCTCTATTATGGAAATATTATGTATTATACATTTGGCCTTTTAAAGCCCTTCAGGATCTTTATCAATATAAAAAACTGCTAAATACTGCTGAAGGGCTCATGGATAAAAGCAAACTCAGCATTTTAAATCCACGACAGAGCAGCTAAAAATTTGCTGGTTTGTTTAGCATGGCTAAATATTTTCTGTACTGTAGGCTAAGTCACCTGTTGATTATTATTAATATTACAGTGTCTATATTAGAGCCCGACCGATATATCGTTTTGCCGATATTATCGGCCGATATATCGGTATCGGCGAACATGCCGCAGAAAAGCCACCGATTTGAAAATTGTTTTACAGAACATATAACGCAGATAAAATGTTTGAAATGGTGTAATTACTTAGTTTGTCCAGCAGAGCGCGCTCCATTGTTTGCTACTGGCGACCTGGATGAAACGTTTTAAAGCTTAAGTCTATGGAAAACCATTAAAACTTTGAACGGCCATATCTCCATAACGGCGCGGCGAATCCGCACCAAATTCGGGGGATCCCTTCAGCTCGAGGAACCCTCTCGAACGCGAATTATACGTCTAGAGGCCCGCTTTCGAATGAGACCACCCCCGCGTCGATAGCCCCCGGGGTTCGGGAGTTACGGGTGGTTAAATTCGTGGTCCGGCGCCGACCGATCAAGCATCTCTAAATTAGTTAGACATTAGAAGCTGTCTATAGGTTGGTGTTGTATTGTCAATTCAAATGTAAAAATTGTATGTGTGTTACTTACTTTGTATTTTAAAACCAAAATATACTGATGAGATCATGCTGGCTGGACATAAAGAGATTATTGTGTTTCTCTGTTGGCCATTATCCAGTAATGTCTACAAAATACATATATCACAATTGAATTGCCCTGTTTTGTTCATAATATGTAATTATCCTGCCTATTATCCAGCCTAGACACGCGTGCTTTTCATATCTCCAAACACAGCAGAGTGAAATCTCTTGTCCTTGTGTCACTATGAGTTTACGCTTTCTCTTATACTTAATCATGTAATAATGAAATACAGGACACGTCTTTCAACTCTATCTTTTATGCTTTTCCATTTTCTGACTATTAGCACTATGATTAGCAGCGTGACAGAGTTTGTTTATCTCTGTGGATTTATAGCTGTGATTTGCGTGCCATACAGTCCTGCGCTGAACTGGAAAATAAGAGCATTAACATCGCTGTAATATTTCACTGTGCTGCTGATTATAATTGATTTCCTGCTTGATGTCTGGTCCTGAGACTTCTATTTTTTATTATAGAATAACCTGCAGGACTGCTCCTTTTGATTTATAATTGAAGATGTTAAGGCACGGTCTATGAATACATATTACTCGTAATGCTGTACAGCCCATAACTTCTGAAGAATCATGTTTTACAAAAATCACATTTCAAATCCTTTTCAAATCAGTCACCTCCACGTGAACCAGAAGCTCATCACAGGGACAGAGAACAGGGACAATAGTAATACTTTTTTTATTATGAAACATGTTTAGCTTAAACCTTGGCTGTTTTGCATCAACCATCTTTAAAATTATGTATTTGATTTATTGTAAATATACTACCATTTCTTATTTGTAGAGCAGGAGTTCCAGCCCTGGCTTAATGACACTGGTTTCCATATGCATCCATGCTGCTCATTCTTCCCTTTATCCCCTCCGTTACTGCCGTAGTGGTGGGTGCACACGTTATCTTATGGCACATGGACATTAATTTCAGCATCACACCTCCTTCCCTTGCCGTATATATAATGCATTATTTGCAGTTATATACATACATTACCCCACTTGCTTACATACATCGCACCTGGGTTATGTTGAATTGTAATGCAAGATGTTTTTAAATGTATGCTTTACCCATGTTATGCTTATAGTAGTGTTATGTTGTTTGATTTAGTCCCGGGTCAGAGGAGGCGGCGATGAACCTGAGCATTGCTGGAGACAGATTTTTATGTATAAGTTGCTCTCTTTCCGGTCTCGCCAGTCACCTGGAAGGGGATCGGGTGAAGTCACGTGACCATTATAAAAGGAGCTCTCGCTCCAATGTAATATGTCTCTCGGTAGGCAAGACAATTAACAAAGCCTCACTGTAAATAAACATCACCTTGCACCAGAGTGCATTTTTGAGTTGGGCCATCTCTGTTTTTCTACATCATGGTGTCTCACCACGTCCTAGAAGCCCGCTGAAAAGCGACTTCTTAACATTATTATAATTACAGTTGAAAACTGTTCTGCTTAATATTTTTTTGCATTTTTGCATAAATTACACATTAGATTTGAGTTATCATAAATAAAATTATGGTTCTAAAACCAGAAAAGACATTTTTACATTTACATTTTAATTACATTTGTATTGTTTTTTAATGTTGCTGTAATTTTTTGTAATGTCACAGTGATTCCTGTTTTCCTCTGAATTTTTTTTTTTTTTTAAGGTATTGTTTACAAATGTTCAGGCATTTTTTTTATTAATAATTTAATAAATAATTTACCCCAGAATAACAACGTGTAATGGTGATAGTCAACAAACATTATTATGTAAAAAGATGTGCAAATAAAGTCAGCAAGCAGCAAAACACTAACAGCATTTATTCATGTTGCAGTTGCATGCTGGGAAGTTGGAAATCAGCAGCATTGCTCAGAGTTTGTTCAGAAGCCTCTGTTAAGCTAGTTGAAGAACATTTGGGGGAAATGCGTTGGTGGTGTTATGTAGATTCAAAGTTGTTCAGAATTCTTAGTACCTTGTGGGCTGGTAAAATGTAATAGCTTATTTACAGAGCATTATACATAATGCTAAAAAACATAATACTGATTTAGTGCTTTCATTTGCTGAATGGGGCAACAGTGCACTTTTAGTGGGTTTACCAGACTCCACACATGCATCTAAAACCTGCTGCACCCACAAAGCATTTGTGCAGTGTACTAAAGGTTGGAAGATTTACATAAAACACATCTTGGGGAGTTCCAGACATGAATAATATACCTCCTAACATCACTTTCCCATTTTTGTAGAAGAAAGGCACTATTTTCCCTCAAACTCAGCTGTGTCCCTTTTGCTCTCTGCTCTCTCTTTCCCCTCTATTACCTTAATCTCCAGATACACTGCGAAGAAAGCTTTTAAGTATAAATTGTTATCAGTAACCTGCATTAAAAATGCACAATCAAAGTGCCCTTTGCTCTTGTGGAAGTCCTGTGAAGAAAATTTTAAAGGTTTTAATTTCTGAAACTGCGTTTAGACCGAGAGAGGAACCCCTGCTGAGGCAGAGCTGTGGCTTTTAGCTCATTATGAGGGAGGAGTTCCATGACATGAGGGGAAAAAGCATTGAAGCCTCAAACGTGTGAAGTTAAATTGCTGGTTGCATATAATATTAATAATAAATGCGCATGTTTGTGTTGATAAGGTGCAGTGCCATATAAACACAAACATGTACTTTTTTGACTTTAAACATTCCTTATATTATTCACAGTTTTGCTTGAAATTGAATTTGAATTTGTTTGGTCAAACTGACAGCATGATTATAGAAGCTGTGAAGGGACGTTCTCACTGTGTATGGATTTATGTTGATTCAGTAATAATATGTACTGATTATTTGACAGAAATACCTTAAAACAAGCAATATATACTGTTCTATACACAAATATCTAGCTATCATGAATTAATGTTCTGCTAAGCAGCTCAAACAAAACTTAAATAACAAACTTGTTCATCTTAAAGAGATTGTTCATTCAAAAATTAAAATTATTCAGGTACTCACATGTACCTTCTTTCATTTAAAAACTCTGGCCGCCTTCTGTGGAACAACAAAGAAGATATTTTGAAAAGTGTTGGTAACTAAACAGTTTTGGTGACCATTGACTTCTATTGTATGGACAAAAAACAAAACAAAAGCAAAAACGTCCCTCAGTTGATTTGCTTGCACTGCACCTGGACAGGAAAAGCAGATATCTCACAAGCTGTCAGTTTCCCAAAGTATTCAGTTCGGTCCTGTACTGCACCAAGTGAAGGGTCACAGAATGTGATTGTCACTCTTGTGAACAGCTGAACTCCGTGTGGACAGAACAAGATTAAGCTCTCAAACAGAAGAGTGACAACCGTATTTAACGCAGTGTGTACATGGCAATTAAAAATTAATTACTTCCAGTCACTTTGTCACTGCAAATGTGTGAACGTGTCTTTAAGGGATTGTTTTTTTTTTTTTTTGTAAGAATAAAGATAATTTTTATTGGTGCCTCTCAGCTCCTTTTATGTACACGTATTAAATGCTGGAGTGTTTATGTTTTATGCTGTAATATAATTGGATTTTAATTATCACAGTTAGATTTGTGTCACGCTGTGGGTGATATTACCCTTGAGATCTCTGATACTCTCTCTTTATCTCATTCTATGTCCCAACTTCTGCCTCTCAATGTACCACACAGATACCCACTTGATTCCAGCAGACCCATCAGAAACTAATTAGGAGAAATACTACAACATGCTAAAGCAATAAAAAAAGAGATTAC